TTTACAGCTTGGAAATAAAAGATAATTGCTGTTTTTACTGTGACCTCCCCTGTGGTGTTTCTGTTACTGGGGTCCTGAACTGTTGGTGTGTTCAGTCATTAAAACTTGTCTGGTTTCTGCAGGTACAAAGATCTTCATGTGTATCAGCTGGAACATCCCACCCAGGTCATCGAGTGGACGTCAGGGAAGAGTAAGTACATTTATTTCATCATAACAATATTCATCATTACTGGTCTCACAATGTACAGACCAGAATCACAAACAGTACAACCAACAGACCCGTCTTTCATCCACACAGAACGTCAGCATGATACTGTTGATTATTGTTGATCATGTTACACAGACGTACACAGGAGGAGATGTGCTAACGCTAAGTAAACTTTATCATCATGTTCACAGCCGTGTGTGTCGCAGGATACAGTTCGACTAAAAATGAGATTCTGGAGCTGCTTTTACCTCTGAAACTGTTCGCTGATGAAAATAAGGTAACGATCTGTGTAAACTTTATTTATTTCAAAATAAACGCAGCATTCAGTCGTCACTTGAGCCTCTGCTGAATATATATGTGTTGTGTTCAGGGTCTCTGTGCAGAGAGGGATTTCAAAGTCGTCCACGGTGGGTTCACAGACGGTCCTGTTCGCTGCCTCAGACGCGTCCCAGGAACAAGGTGAGTTTGTGACGAACGATTTCACTGTGATTTACTTGATTTCTTGTCTTTCCACTCACGTCCATTAAAGGTCTTAAACTCAGTTACTGTTTGTTCTGCAGAAGTTTCAAAGCTTCATCATGAGCTTCAGTGGAGTTAAAATAATGTTCATCATCATAAAATGCTGGCAAGAAAAATTAAATCTTATCATCTGAAAGAAGAACACACAGTAAAAATAAAACAAACAGAATGAAAAGCACGTGGTTTATTATTCTCATGTTCGATGGCTACAAAGAACACTGTCGTTAATATTCAGATATTTTCTCAGTTAAACATTTATTCTATTAATGTCAAAAATCCTGATTATTCTCGATCACAGTTCACAAAAATACAAAATGACAAACAGCCCCAAACTCAAAGTATTATTTATGACATGACACAAAAAGCAGAAAAGCAAACTGATCGAACCAACTGTGTCTTATTTTTATTATTTTTTATCTTTTTCATCATTTAAACCAGTGACTAACTGAACTGTGTTCATTTTGGGGAGGAAGAAAATCATCTCTCATGAAATTGCAGATAAATCCTTTCTGAAGGACTCACAAAATGTCATAATGAACATAAAAGGAAATTATCTGATGTTGCAAATCACAGTTTGCATGTTGAACGTTGGTGAAATGAGCCCCAAAAATGTACTTTCTCAAACATCTTCTGACTAAACACATATTTTTTTGCCAATGTTGGAACAGGTCAGGGTATTTTAGATTATACATTTTCTATATTTTTAGTTTCCTCTGCTCTCCTGTCAGATTTAAAGATCTGAGCAGTTGGAAAAAAAGTCCCAATGAAGCCGATAATCTGAGATTTTCAGTGTCTTATCTTATATAATAAATACCTGAGGATTTGTTTTCAAATCTTTAGTTTCTGCAGAGTTAGTATCTGGTGCAGAAAAACCACCGCTCCACCCAGCTTGGTCTTGTTAAGGTGCTGAAAACATCAATAAGTCCAGACTGGTTGAAAAACATTTTCGCACACTGACATCTTTGCAGAGTTTCTCTTTATTGGTGAGGTTTTCGGTCCATTAGACTTTAATCAGAGCGAACATAAAACAACAGCAGACCCCAACGATGCACCTTTAGTGCTTAACTGGTAAGAAGAACATGGGAAGAAGGTGAGCAGTGAGCAACGAAAGAAGAAATTAGTAAAAAGAGAAAATGAATAACAAGAAAATTAGTAAATAAAAAAAAAAAGTTATAAATTTAAATATATAGTTATGGTAATTAGAAATATAGTTTTTCCCCTAGCTTTTTTTCCCTTCATTTTCAAGCATTAAAAAAAAAAAAAATCTAAATCTATAAATTTTTTGCAAATTGTGGAACATTTCTAATCGATTTGTTCACTGCCTTTTTCGCCCATGTTTTTGAAAGACATTGCACCAGTTTGCTCAGAGGTTTAAATACTTGAGAAAGGCGTCTGAAAGCACCACAAGAAAAGTGATGTCACTCCAGGTTTTAAAGGGTTAAAGCCAGTCTGTAATTTTAACGCCTCTATCACCGGTGCAGTTATTATGTTTTGGGCTGTCAGTCCATCGCATTCTTGTGAATGCATATCTCAAAAACACACAAGCAATCAGCTGGAATTGAGGATGAACTGATTTGATTTTGGCGGCCAAGGGTCAAAGGTCACTGTGACCTTTCATTCATCACATTCTTGTGAACACAATATCTCAAGAACACCATGAGGGGAATTCTTCAGATTTCAGTGGTGTACAACCATGGTGCAGTAATTCTAGTTTAGAAGTAACTTCTTTAATAAATATTTTAAGAAGGGATGATGCTCCGATACCAATCTTTGAGATCAGTGGTCATTTTTGAAGTAAAAATAATAAAACTTCTGTATATTATTATCTTTCATCTCTCAGTAACACTGGAGTCAGGCAGAGAGGAGACAGTTTATTTGACTTTTATTTGAATATTAAAATAAATTCATGTCTTGTTTCTGCAGGTGTGTTGTTACCAACGATGGGCGGAGCTCTGACCTGCAGGTGTGGACCGTCGGAGGAGACGACAGTGGTGAGTTGAGTTTACTTGAAGCTCCTGAGTGAAGTCACGTCAGGTTAAACCATGAAGAAAAAAACAGAATAGATGCCGTGCCTACGCTGTAGCCTGACGTGCACCTCCCCAGATATGTAACTACACATAGCAGCGACTAGTTGGCGGTGGGGTTTCTGTGAAGTGCTGTAAAGTTTAGTTGATTCAAAACACACATTAAACACACATTAAACATGGCTTAATAGAGACAGTTTCAAACACAAGTACACAAATCAGCTTCACTATAACTGGCAGCATTCACAGACAAACACTTGTCTTTATCTGGACACATTTTCCCCACAAATACAACATGCTAACGTTATTAGCACAAGCCTATGGCATTTTACATTGTATAAATTAGCCTAGCAGCTAGTGAACTTTTCCTCTACTCATTTGAAGCCAGGGTCAACAGCAACATTTAACAAAGGTAACGTTACAAAATTCAGCTCCATTACAACTCACAAGGTTCACTGACAAAACAACTGTCTTATACTAAACACGTTTTCCAAACAAATACAACATGCTAACGTTATTAGCACAAGCCTATGGAATTTTACATTGTATAAATTAGCCTAGCGACGAGCAGTCATTTCCTCTACTCTTATGAAGCCAGGATAAATCACACACAAGACTTAAAATTTTATATTTGTGGAGGCTTTACTGTCTTCACAATTTATTGTTTATCTGTGAAATTAAAGTAAATCAAAGCTTTGTCTCCTCTGAGGGAAATGGTTTTCAGGAGGTCGGTGTCGCAACTTGTAGTTACATTTCTGGGGAGGTGCATGTCAGGCTACAGCGTAGGGTACATGGACACAGAGCCTGCGCTGTAGGCACATTGTTGATGTATAAGTCTCGCTATAAATCATCGTTTCCTCAGTAATTTTTTTTTTTTTCTTTTTTTAAATAATCCGATAGATATTTGTTGTATTTTACTAAAGAGTACTTTGTGCTTTACTGTCTGAAATTTGAGTGATGTTAAGCTCGGTGTCTTAAAAATATTTAATTATTATTAATAATTCAGGAATACCTTTAGCTATGAAGGTAAGGCATAAAGCACAAGACTCAGATTTGTTTATGATGATGATGAGAGGACAATGTTCAGAAACTTTAAATCAACCTGAAACAATAAAAATAAGGAGAAAGAATTAGACAGAGTTCTGTCTCCACCCCAGCACAATACAGGCTGAATGGAAATTCAGTTTTGTGCAGCTCACTGGGTTGAAAGAGGATGTTTGGAAAATCAAACAGATTTTTTTCTCCACCCCACAAACAAGCTCTTTGTTATTCTAAATAATTCACAGAACTCATTTCTCAGTTCTTTAAAAGTCCTTTTGTACTTCAGAAGAAACTTTTATTACACTTTTTTATTTTGAAACAGCAAAACATACACACACACACACATCAATAAATAGTAATAATTTTTTTTTAAAAAACTGAAAAGTGAAAGAACAACTTTTTTTAACCTCATCTGTGAGTAAAAACCATCTCCTTCCTCTTTGTGTTTTAAGTGACTGAAGTTGATTCTTAAATGTGTCGTGTATTCTCAACGTCTGATTGGTTATCGTGCTGCGTCTTATCATCCAATGACAGACGTGATCAGAAGAACAGGAAGTGTGAAGGGGACGAGGAGTGTGTCGGAGGGAGGCAGCAGGATCGCAGCTCGACTCTCGTCACAGGTTCTTCACGGAGCTCAGAGCAGCGACGTCCGGCTGACTCAGCTGACCTCAGGACAGATTCTCTACACGCTCGGTAACACTGACGCTTTATTTATCGTCACGCTCAGTTAGAAACATGCATTTCAGTCTTTATTTGAAGTTTATCAAAGCAGCAGGGTGAATATGCAGGAATCATGGAGTTAAATTTAAGATTCATTAATTAAGACATTTTTTTTTAGGACCCTTAAATAGATTTTTAAAACCTTACAGTCTGTCTGTTCTTCAGTGATGTTCTGCTTGTACAAACGTTTATAACACAACGTCTTACAAGCTCTTTTGTGTCCTTTTGTCCAAACAGAGACAGACTCAGCAGATCCTCTGAGTTCTTTACACTTTGTGAGTGACACAGTCTTCATCGCCGGCTGCTGTAACGGGAACGTCTATATCGCCGACACTCGGACATCTGCTGCTCCTCAGCTTTCACCTCCACCAGTGTCTCCAGGTGAAGCTGTCCTCTGGTGGACAGACGCCTCCGCAGGTCCGTCCTGCTGCAAGGTCGTCAGACTGTCCTCGTCTGGACAGGCAGTGATTTCGGACCTGAGGAACACAGGAGGTTCTGTGAGTCGGGCTCAGCTGGACGTCCAGCCACGTCACTGCAATCTGGATGATGTCAGAGTGTCGTGGGCTCCGGCGCTGGACGACTGTATCGCAGTGTCAGGTGAGTTCACAGCAACACGGTGATCCAGCTGTTGATGTAAAGGGACAGTTTGACATTTTTGAAAAACACATTGTTGCTGAGAGTTGGACAAGAAGATCAATACCGCTCTGTCTGTCCGTTACATATGAAATTACAGCCAGCAGCCAGTTAGCTGAGCATAAAGGAGAAACTGCTGAACCTGTAAAGTTCACTCATTAACATGTTTCATCAGTTTGTTTAATCTGAGCAACAAAGAGTAAAAAAAGTATTGTTTATACTAAATGAGACGTGACATGAGTGGTGTTGATCTTCTCATAACTCTTGGGAGAAGTATAAATAAAGAAAGGGACAGAGCTGGAGGTAGAAGTAGGGAGGGAGGTCAAGCTAGAGGAAGAAAAAGAGGGGGTGTTTGAGCTGGAAGATGAAGTAGCGTTAAAGCAAGAGGTAGAAGGGGTAGAGTTACAGCTGGAGGTACATAGAGAGAGAGAAATGTGCTGTTGGAGGGAGAGGTAGAGGTACGAAAGGGAGGAAAAGGTAGACCTGAAGGGAGAGGTAGAAAAGGAGGAAGGTGGAGTTGGAGGTAGAGGGACAGGTAGAGGTAGAAAGGGAGAAGAGAGCTAGAGGAAGACCTGAAGGTAGAAATGGAGAGAAGTAGAGGGAGAAAAGGAGGGAGAAAGAGAGGGAGAAGAGAAGGAAAGGTAAGAAAAGGAGGGAGAGGTAAAAGAGAGAGAGGTAGAAAAGGAGGGAGAAGAAAGGGAGAAGTAAGAAAGGGAGGTCCAGGTGGAGTTGGAGGGAGAGGTAGAGTGGGAGGTAATGTTTCAGATGAATGATTTTAAAGTCCTCACGTCTGCAGGTTTCAGTGGAGCCGTTCAGATCTACAACACGTCCATCTGGAGGAACGAGCTGCAGGAAGTTCAGCCGCTGTTCGAGCATCGTGGGCACGCCGTTTCATCGCAGTCTGGTGACGACGTCTTTGTTACCTCCCACGTCTGGCACCCCGAACGTTCACGGACGCTGCTGTCTGCAGCCTCAGACGGCTCCGTCCATGTGTGGGACTGGGTCGACCAATCAGCTGCTGAAGGTCCAACATCAGGGTGAAAGCAAAGGTTTACCTGAGAGGAAGAGGAGGAGGAGGAGGAGGAGGAAAGGAGCTGACGTTTACTCAGTGGACTTCAGGAACATTCACTGAAAACAGAAACAATAAGTGATCATGAAGTCTGCTGTTTCTTTACCTTCTGTGTGGAGTCCAGCATCGCCTCCATTTTTAACAAGGACCTGAAGACTGGAAAACAATTACAGGAACTATTTAGGAAAAAAAGAACAAATGAAAATCAATGTATTTACACAAGATCAGATATCATCATCATCATCATCAGAACTTTGCTTCAAACTATCTGCACAGACAGATGACAACAGGGAGGAATGAGACAGTCTGCTTTGGAAACTGGGCGACCCTTTTAAAATCCTGAAAACATCTGTGTCCCAACACGACACATCTGTGACGCAGTGATGCAGCAGCAACAGACTCTGTGGTTTGAAATGAATTAACGTCTCCACCAGAGAACAATGAGTGAAGTGTGACACGAGGACTCTGCAGGCCGAGTCTGTTTTTGTGTCACATGTAAAGTCTCTTTTGGGCCAGAAGAAGTTTAAATTCTGTTTTGTATAATTTGTCACAAGTTGTAGTTTAAAGAAATAAAACATCCATGTGTGTGATTCTCAGGCTGTTTTTTAGTTTTATCAGGGTGCGTTCATAACAAGCTGGTGTACAGGGTTCTCACAGTCATGGAAAACTTATTTATTTTCTTCTCGCTTGGTTTACGTTTCACTCGAGCTTTACCTATACAAAAAAATGTTTTGTGTCGCATTTATTGTACTTTTTTTTTTTGTTTGTTTTGTTTTATGTCTAACTACAGTGACCGAGTTGGTTTCTGAAAGCTGCCAAAACACAGGTGACCTACATTCAATAATGTCCCTGAATCAGTCCCTCCAGAAAATTCTTGCGATCACATTAATTAACCCAAATTCAACGAAAGTCCACAATATTTGTGGGGGCTTGCAATTTTTCAAAAGTCCCTCGATTTTTCCTCATTTTCCGACTGACCAGAAGTCGTTGCACATGCCGCATCATTTGAAACGTCATCAGACGCGTCATCAAATGTGCTAATGGCACTGCGGTATGGAGAAACACTCTGTATTGACATAAGAATTTAAATGCAGACAATATGTGTTGAATTTATTAAAATGTTATGTTTACAGAAGATGGAGCTTACATGTTGTTTTACAGTCACACTGTCTAGTTTGAGAGCTACAGTATTCACTCAGGATTTTTTGCAACATTATCGGAGTCCATGTTTTAAAACTAATTAAAAACTAAAGAGAACAATAAAAAAAACACACATTTGCAGCTATTTTTGTAATCAGTATGATTATTATAGCAAGTGATTACATGACTGATTGTCAGTTGTCGCAATTTCCTGCAAAAAAAAAAAAAAGCCACAATTTTTGACAAAATTGGCTGCAATTTCAAGTTTTTTTTGCCGCGAGATCCTGGAGGGACTGCTTAATGCATCCTGTGTAGACACGGACTGCTTTGTTAATGTGCTGCTTTCATTAGACAAAAAAAAAATCTTAAAATTTTAGTTGCACTTAAACACTTAAAACTGCGAACAAATAGAAAAAGCTTATTTGGAGGTATTACTAAAACATGTAGTTCATTCAGTACGCAAGTAGGTGTTTCATAAATCTATCAAACTGTTTCATAATTCGTACCCACAAAATGACTAAATTAATACGCTTAAAGGTTCAGTGTGTCAGATTTAGGGAAATTTAGTGGTGTCTAGAGGTGAGGAGTGCAGATTTCATCCAGCTGAAACTTCTCCTGGTTAGAATTCTTTCAGTGTCCAGGAGGTTTTTATCAGGAGACTAAATATCCGCAGAGGTCTCTTTCTCTCTGAAAGAAACGGACCAGCTGATTTAAACTGGTAAAAAGACTGAATAAAACAGTTTGACATTACAATTCAGTGTTTCTCTGAGCTGTTGGCACAGCACCTGCTGCTCACCTTTTGTCTCTGATAATACGTTCAGGAGCTGAATTATCCTACTCATTACATTTAATATCTGCCGATGTATCCCCCTAAATCTTACACACTGGACCCTTAAGTTAAGTGTCATAATGGACTGTTGGGATTTTATATTTTGCTTCACACTGATCCTTTTTATAACCTGAAGGGCTTCTCTTAGCCTGTAAAATCTATCAAAGTTTTGTCAAACCTTTTGTTTTGATCACATTAAAATAAATCCGTTCTGCAGAGTGAGGCAGATGAAATTAAGCTCATAATGACGCTGATTAGAAGCAATTAAGTCATTTAAGCGGCACAAACACGAGTTTCACAGAGCAAATGAGGTCATTTGAAAATGCAACTGTAGAGACAGATGAATACTTCACAAATATATAACTAAACTTGGACAATGATTTATTAAAAACATTACCTCCTGACTGCTCCAGAGGTCCAGACCTTCCTCACGTCTTCAGTCACCGAGTCACTTTTTGGTTCCTGTGAACGGACACACATCAACATCTGTAAATCAGAGCTGTCTGAGGTCACTTCCTGTTTGGCGCCTTGTTTACCTGATGAATCGTCACTTTGAGTCAGTTTATCTTTTTGTGCAAAACTGCCATTAAAATGCATTTATTCTAAATTAGAGTTTGAACAATCGCTCAATGAATCCAGTATTTGACTGACAAACAATCAGCAATTATTTCCATAATCAATCGATAATCTAAGTTATTTCTGGGGTCAAAACACGAGCTTTTTGCAGCTTATAAAATGTAAGAATTAACCACTCTTTTTTTTCTGATGTGACAGTAAATGAATATTTTGGATTTTGGACACCGTGTTGGACTTCACAGGTTTAATGACCATTTTCTCGTTTTACTGACAATTTGTAGACTAAAACAATAAATGAAGAAAATACTTGTCAGATCAGTGGATAATGAAAACAATTGTTAGTTAGAGGCCGACCGCAGTATAAACAGCTGCTTCATGCTGATGCTGCATTCACATAAAATCAGGTAGATGGCTGACGGAAGACAACGTTTGACGACACAGGAAAACAGTGTGACAGAACGTCAGTAAAACGAAACATGCATGACAACATGTTTTGATGGTGACACCGTATTGTTTACAAATAATGGAATAACATACATTAAATATCGTCATTTTATATTATTATTTTATTTGATTTTTCTAGTAATGTCCAGTAATTACCAACAACACCCGTGTTTTCTCCGTCTGTGACAGAGCTACAAAACATCTGGTTATAAATTCTGTCAGGAGGACGCCAAAAAGTTGAAACATTTGAAATTTAAATGGCAGTGTTGTCTCCCGTTACAGGTGTTCTCTGAAATGATGATTCCATGTGAACACATCATTCATCAACTCACCACAACAAATAACCTGAACAAAAAAAAAAAACAGGTCATCTTGCCTGATATCTACCAGTCTCTTTGCTCTGCTGGATAAGGTCAGTGTTGGTGCAGATAACTGAGGAATGAATGAACTGAACTGACTTCAATCGAAACCATTCAGACTCTGAACATCAACAAACTTCTTTCAGTTTTCTGACAGAACGAAGCTCTGCTCATTCATCAGCAGTTTGTGTTGCTTCAGTTCACCTTGGTTTCTTTACATAACCCTTCTGACACACTCACGAGTTATTCTTTTATTACCCTGCCCTGTCTCTTTGACAGTTTACCTAACAGCCCACATGTTTGTGTTGGTGAGGAGACCCTTATTAACTGTGTAGCCTTCTCATTAACTCTGAGAACTTCATAACACAACAACTAATGACCCACGCTGACTCTCTTTAACAGGGAAAAAACCATGGTGCACAACTATGTGTGACATGTAAACAATTTCACGTAGTATCAATGACTAATGATCTCTATCACTGATGTCATTGGTCGCACTGATGGAACATAATTCCTATAGCCTAATATTGGGGATTATATGTTCATATTTCTGAGTGAGCAATGGTGCAGCATTTCACTGTCTTTAAATTTACTACATTTGTATCTGAAATAAAGTCACTGAATGCTGTTGAGTCAAGATACAAATAGATGTCCAGCGTTTTAAAATCTACTGTATTTTAACCTCAACGTCTTTTCAAGTGCAAATCACCAAACATATTATTACTGGGTCAGACTGTGAGTTTACAGTCATGTCTTTATGTCTTTGATCTATAGCCTAGACTATATGTTTTAAATCTTCTGTCTCCTGTGTTTTCCCCATCAGATTAAATCTGAACAAATATATTGTTATGTATTATTAATATAATGTAATGTAATGTATCTACAGCCTGATACACAGTCAGATTCCACCATTTTATCTTCATTAAGGAAATGTAAGTCTGATAAATGATGACTAAACAGACAACGCTGAATCAAACTTTTTTATTAACTTTATGGTTAACTTATTTACACTTTCCTCGCTCTGACTCAGGCTCTTCTTTTAAAGATAAACGTGCACCGTCTGCTACACATGCATTAATATCTCTACATCCACTGGATTAAAATGGAGGCGCTGTCTTTTATTTACCTGTTGCCATGGTGAATCGTGGAGTCGGAGCTCCATTGATGATGGCTTTTTATTGTCGGCTTAACTCAGAGTGAACATACTCAGAGTTGACTGAACTAACTCAGATCAGCTGTTCTGGAACCGGTAACTCAGAGTTTCCCATCTCAGAGTAAGTCAACACAGAGTTCAGGGATAGACTCAGAGTTTGTTGAACCTCCTACCTGGAATACCCCTCAGGTAGCATATTGACAACAGTCTGTCAACAGCTGGGAGAAGCTGCGTTGCTACAGCAACATTTAAAATAGGGATGTATGATATTGGATTTTTTGCTGATATCCGATATGCCGATATGTAACAATGCTTTTCAGTGTATGTAATATTCATTCATTGTGCAAAATAAGAAAAAGCATGTTGGCCGATTCTGATAATTCACTTTGAAGCCGATATTGGCCCTACAGTCTACAATTTAAAAACAGAAAAATTAACACTTTGTGATATTTTACAGGCTGATCCCAGTATTTTAAACTCAGTACGTTCACTACTTTTATGCAAATAAATAAATAAATAAATAATTGATTCAGTATTTCCTCACTCGGGTTGCAGCAATATACATGTTTCAAGGTATACTGGGATATAAAGCTGTTGGTCATCATACAGTGTACATTTGCTCATCTATGACATTGAAAAAAATCATTCACTCCTTTAAGGCTCATTCTGACAGATAATAATGTAGAGTCTGTAATAACACAATACTGTGAGACTGATATTTTCTGAGACGATCACTGAACCATGAAAATCACATATCACTGCAACCCTATTCCTCACCAGTATTTTATTCCTGGCAGACTGGAGATGGTTTTAAAATATAATTTATAAATATATAAGTGAACTGGAAACAAGGGAAGAAATAAAGTGAGAAATAATCTAATAATTTAAAACTTTCTACGCTCTTATAACTACGGTGTGTTGTGAAACTTGCAGGACAGGATGTAGGGAGATGCTTCAACATGATCTCACTATTTTCCAAAATCAATCACATTAACAATTTTACAAACTGAGGTATTTATTTGTGTCATTGTTTTTCTTTTATCCCTTTTATACAAAGCCCCTGAAGTCATGTGACATATTTCTTATCTAAAAAAAGAATTAGCTGGTATTTAACAGATACCAACTTTCAAGACTTTGAGTTATTGTCAAGGCTGTTGATCCTTAGTCTTTCATCAATCTTCTCCACGCTGTTATGGTAAAGTGCGATTTGCAAAATTTGGGCGTACATGGCCCGCTAACTCATCCAACAGGAAATAACCAGATAAACAAAGATTCCCGTGCAGCATTGTGCTTCTTTCCTCCTCGACAGGCAGCGACCAGCACTTTAATTTAAAGTAATAACCAAATAAATGGAAAATAAAAATGTAATTTCATACTTTGCTGCCTCCTCTGTCTCTTTAACGTGTCGCTGAACTCAAATCAAAATGCCACGTCAATAAATCATGATGACGTTCTCCAAACAGTTCCCTCACTGTTTACCATCTGTGTGTTGTTTAGCACAGCTGAGCAAATGTATTTCGCGCGCACACACACACACACACACACACACACACACACACACAGCTATTAAATGCTGAAGACAGAAAACTCTCAACTTCACCCTTCAGCGTGAACCTCCACTGTCTCTCTGCACACAACTCTTTCCTGTTGCACCTGAGGCCCTTTACACAAACTTCTCTAACTGACTCAACCACTTCTGCTTTACTCCTATAACTTTCTGAAGTTGCTGCCACCTCTCCCAGCACAGGAAACGCTCCTCTAAAGACGACTCACTTCCTGCCTCTGGGGTCACACTGAACAGGTTTCATTTCACAACTCTGGATTTTCACAACTTTTCCCGTGAAGAACCTTAAGTGTTTCTGTCTCTCGTCAGTTTAATAAGCCACCGGAACGAAAGGATGCATGCTGGGAGTTTTTTTGCCCCTCTGATAATTACATCAGTGTCCGTCTCAGCCTCCAGTGTGAAGTGTGAAGAATGACAATTAACACTGAGGCTGAGAGGCGTGAGAAGGCAACAGACTGCAGATGCAGAAATGAGCAGCAACAGTGATGGATGATACGGATCATTTTCCCTTCACCGCTTCCACCCAACAGCTGACAGTGTTGATAATAATGCAACTGTTTGTCATTTACAAAATCAAAACGCTTCATTTGCTGGTTTCAAACCTGCTTCTGTCTCTTTCATATCACTGTAAACTGAATATCTTTAGTTTTGGACTGTTGGTTAGACGAAAAAAGACATCTGAAGAAATCACACCACCCAGAGTCAACGATTAATCAATTTGTTATAAAAAAATAAGCAATAGAATAACTGGCAACATAAATAAGTCCTCAAATATTGTGCATGTACAATATTTGAGGACTTAAAATATTGTGCATGTACTGATACAGAGCCTGATCTCATGGTCATTTTCATTTAAAATATTATTCTAATATTATTTTAATTAAAATATTCAGTGAATGTAGAGTCTGTAGGCAAACCCTGGAGATCTTGCCTCTGGAAGAAGAGTGGAAGAGCCCTGGTTTCCGGTTGTAGGCTGTTTGTAGTCCGCGTGATATTGACCAATCACGTTTGAGCCGGCTGCAGTTGTTGCCAGGTTAAACGGTCTGTGCGGTGAACTAACAAGGCGGAACATAATTGGCGTCACTGCAAACTCTGAATCCACTGCAATGGTTCTGCATATTTACTTAAACTAAACTTAAACTAAACAGAAGTCAAAAACGGAAATTCGCCTCCTCTGCCCAAATCAAACGGTAATACCCAAAAATCGGGTGTCTGCCCCCAGAGGCTGTATCGCCGTCTGCCGGAAGTCAGACGCCGAATACAGCTGATGGGAATCATCACATGAGAATGTGCATGCATAGATGGAGACATGGTACCGTGACACACTACAGCAACGTCGTTACGGATGTCTCAGTTGATGCTGAAC